TGAAAAGGGCATTATAAATAAAATCTATTATTATTATTATTATTATTATCAATAAAAGTTAGGTTTTCTTTAAAAAAAAAAAATATCTATCTGAATGTTTCTGGCAATATTCATCCAGAGAAGCAGTTGTAAAGGCCCAGCATTAGTCGGTTTATCATCTCCCTGTTAAATAGTAAACCCATCAGACAATAGTCTAATAATACGCTCCAAAAACAGCAACGACGGTAGAGAAATGAACAAATGTTGTTTATGATATGAATTCTCAGTCATTTTTGAGAACAAAATTAATGAATGACATAATCTGACACACCTCAATGTCCAGTGAACTTATAAAAAGCTGTGTGTCATTATATTAATTCAATAACAGTACAGACCACTAGACAATGTGCATTGTGCATGTGATTGTTCAATACTACTACACTCACAAACTCATTGTTCACTCAGGCAATTACTCTAAATGTAATAAATTATTACAATTAATGAATTATAATGAATAAACAAGACAACCAAGATGAAGTTAAATGTCTCAACAGTCATGTACTGAAACATAAATTTTATTTAATTGGAATATAAATTACAACAACACTGATCTTTTGAGAAAAATGCATCTGTAATAAGTTAACTGACAGAAGTCCAAAGTCCACACTCAGGGTTACACAGGTGAATGTGAACAGACCAACAGAGGATCGACGAGAGAAATCTGAGATATTTGTGCTGTTACAGTGCAGCACTGCTCTTCTTGTCCTTGTTACGAGAATTATATGTCCTCGCTGCTGCTCTCTGGTTCCTTTGGCTCTCTGTCGGTCCCTCTTTAGCTGCTGTTCTCAGCCCTGCAGTGTCCGTCACCGCCTGCAGCTCCGCCTGCAGCTCCGCCTGCTCGTCCTCAGCGCTCTGAGCAGGCGTGATTCTCAGCCACTGCTGGTAGTAACCACGGAAACCATCGATTTGGAGCAGATAGTTGTTTCTGGACTTGTACTGGGATTGAAAGATAGTGGGGCAAAATAAAGAGGGGGAACAGAAAGAGAGGGGCAACAAAAAACAAGAATCAGTAAAGAAACCTGTTTTTTATCTGGTTTAAGTCCAGTGTGTAACATTAAAAAGGATCTATTATATCTAATACTCATAGGTATGTTTTCATTAGTGTATAATAACCTGAATATAGGAATCTGTTTTTATTATATTATTATTATCTATATTTTTTTATTAACAGACACAACGGGTAGTCCTACACACTTCACAGCCCATTCTCATTCCCAGGTCGTCAAATACGGACGCCAGCGATGTTCAGTTACCAGTAGACGCCACTAAATCCTACACACTGGTCCTTTAAAACAAAGTATGACTTTCATCAGTGTCTTTTTCTTTAAAGATACATTCACTCATTTTTTGACCTCTTGGATGAATGTGCTGAAAACATCGACATATTATCATCATATATACTTATTATGTCTAACGGAAAACAACTGTCTGCTGGGGCAACAGTCAGAGTTGATAAGTGATCACAATGTACACCTCCCCATCCACACACATTATATTCAAAAGGTTATGCTCAGGTATGTGCTGGCTGGTTCCTCCACACTAGTTGAAACTCCTCCCGTCCTCGTGTACTGCACGTGTGCTCACCTGGTCGTAGCCGGGAGGATATTGTGAGGCGAACTCCAGCTGTCTGATGATGACCTCATTAGGCCACACCTCCATGCTGCTCATGGTTTGGAGGAGTGTTTTAAGGTAGACGTAATCCAGTCTTCGAGATGCTCGGCCAATCAGAGCAGAGAATACATGGACGTTAGGCTTAAATCCCGCCTCCTGCAAAAAGAAATTAAAAAAAACACACGTAAAGATGAAATCAAGTCATAATATTGGTCTTCTACTGGTTCTACTACTGCTCTTAACACAACTACTGCTCATATTATAGTAGTGTGTCTTCACACTCTTTAACATCTATTCTGTCTTTTAGGATGCGTTTCCTCACCGTCATGTCTTTCAGCAGCTGCAGGCCGTCCTTCTGTCGCTCACAGGCTAAAGCGAGGCATCCAAACGTCTGCACATCCACTTTTACTCTGCGCTGTTGCATCACACTCAACACAGCCTGGAAAGAGAACGAGCGGCATGAAAAATACGCACACTTCAACAAAGTCACAAAACACTTTTCTCACTTACATCCAGAGCGATATATTGGTGCAGATACATGTTCACGGCAATGAAAAATAAAATATCTTATTTTCTGTGTGTGTGTGTGTGTGTGTGTGTGTGTGTGTGTGTGTACCTTTGCCCCCTCCAGGTCATTAGCTCTGGCTGTTCTGCGAATCACAGAGTTAAAGAACGCAACATCCAGCTTCACTTTATGCTGCTTGGCGACCTTCAGCAGCAGCTGCAGAGACTCCTGGCGCGGGTCCATCATGTCGGCCAGCAGGGTCAGAGTCTTGATGTCTGGACTGAGTCTGCTAGCCTCCATCTTCTCCAGGAAACCTTTGGCTCCTCCGATGAGAGCGAGCCTATCTGACGCTCCGTCCACAGTGCCGAAGGAGACCACACCACCCCTCTTACCCTCAAAAAGGTCCAGTAGGTTGGGGGCTGATGAATCATCCGCTAAGTCTAGAGGCAGTGAGACAGTTTGTCTGACTGGTATCAAAGCGGTCGAGTCTCGTCCCCTGGAGGACTCGTCCTCACTGTCTGTGCTGTCCTGCTGTCTGTCACTGAGCGGATCAGGTTGGATAAACAACTGCCTCTCCAGAAGGTCAATGTCTAATACAGTCTTGCGTCCGGACTTTACACGTGATGCATGTTCCCTTTCGTACTTCTGGTCCAGCTTCAGCAGCACGTCAGTGGCCAGGGCCGCATCGCCAATCCCACAATCCCTTGCAGTTCGCAACAGCACGTTATAGTTCTTTGAGTCTGGCATAATCCCTGACCTCAACATCTGGCGCCAAACCTGAAACAGAAACACTCAACTCTCAAAATTGCACTTTTTTTTGTAAAATCAGTTGAAACAGACAGCGTATTCACAAACACATAAGAGAGCCCAAACACATCCATATCGTTCCATGTGTACGTACAGCTGAGTAGGCGGTCTTTCAACGTGCTCCAGGACACATTGCGTACACACTGCTAAACAAATGTGGTCACATACGGCTCAGACCACCTCCGACGGTTGTCTTAGTGATTGGATCTGAATGCGTTTTAGTGCATTCACATGTTAATACCAAGTTTAAACAGGGCCTAAGTGTAAAGGGACCTTTACTCTCAAAAATATTCCATACCAACGTAGTTTGGTGCCTCTGAATCATGTATCTACCTGTAAAGCCAATCTGAATCCGGTTTGTTCGTCCTTCAAACAGCCCATCAGCAGGTAGTGAAACGTCTCCTGATTTACAGCGTGGCCGCTCTGCAGCATCTCCTACAAACACACAAAAAAAAACCTGACGTATGAACACAAATCTAACACAATTCGGTCGACCATTCCCACTTCCATACAAACGTCAGCCGGCATGTCATACCCTGAGTGTGTGAACACAGGCTTGAAGGTGGTTGGTGATGGCGTGCGTCTTGAGAAGGGCGTGGTACGTGATGGTGCTGAGGGGGTGGTTCTTGCGGCGGAGTTCCTGCTCCAACTTCAACGCTTGCTGAAGGCCGGCTTGTTTGGATCGTGACGTGGCGCAGGAATTGAACAGCGCAGTGTAGGTGGCATCTGAAGCCTCCAGGCCTCGCTTTTTCATCTGGAAGACACACACACACACACACAAATTACATCTGGAATAGGTGTATATAAAAATGTGAGGCTCGGAAATTAAAGTTTTATGCAGTTTTCCATCTCTTTAAGATCTGGAATATATAAAACTGCTAAGGGAACATATAATCATGACAGCAGGGAATGAATAATATATATTCCTACATCATTATAGAGCCTGAAGGCCTTCTTGAGTTGTCCAGCTCGACCAAAGCCTCCTATCAGCACCGTGTAGTTGTACTCCTGCGGCTTCAGCCTCTCCCCCTGCAGCATGTCTTTGCTGAACATATCCAAGGCCTCCTGCAGCTGTGGGAGGACACATAAGCTTTAGACACAACAGTGACACCAGAGGACCAAAACAAAACAGCTCAGAAAGGACCAACCTTGTTCTGTTGGATCAGATTCTTGCACTGTAAGAAGTACCAGTACGGCGTGTTTCTACCCCCGCCGGGCCTCCTGCGTGGTATCACCGTGTCCTCCTCCTCCTCCTCCTCCTCCTCCTCCTCCTGGATGCCTGGGCTGGTTTTCCTGAACAACCTCCTGGAGGACATGTCGCTGGAAAGGGAGCCGAAGTTCTCCCCGTCTGGTGGGTCGTCCTCGGCGGACAGGGAGCCCCGAGGGTCCGTACCCCCATGGGAAGCAGATCTAACGATTAGTCCCGTTTGCAGCTGCCAGAGAGCCGGCGTGAGGAGCCTTAGTGACCGGTGTCGTGGTAGATCTTGTACCCCTGTCCGATTAAGGGCTCTGGTCGTTGAAGCCAACAGGGACAACTTAGCAACGGGAACCGAGACTTTTCTCCCGTTTCGGACGCACGAACAGGCGACAGACGTTAACATATTTAGAGTTGTTTTACTACTAACTAGTAATTAACATGCCTTTGCTTCCAGACTTTACTTTATTAAACTTACGTCGCTAGCTCAGGTAGCTTCTGACATGTTGTGTACAGCACGATGTTTCAATGACACACTACCTGACCTGCAAGACCTGAGTAGTAGATACCGAACAAGAAATATATTTTTAAAAAAAGCACCCTGTCTGGGGTTTTGGTCGCTGAAGGAATAAACAAGAACGTTAATTGAGTTTTAAAATATCACTATTTATTACTTACATTGTTTAAAAAAAAGCGTAATCTATTCTGGATAGGGCGTCCCAATACGATCGACTACATCGGGGGTGGATTATTATGTCTGTGCTGTTTGCCCTCAGTTGGTCGTGGAAGTGATTTTTGAGTTTCTCTGGATGAAATCAGGGTCAGGATCCCTTTTATTGGCCAGGAATGTGCACACATACAAGGAATTTGACTCGTACACAATGCACATCCACAGAATAAACATAAATAAACAAGGAGAAGCTCAACAAAATAGATAAATAAATATAAACAAACAAAGAACACTAACATTTGTGGGCAGTAGTAATGGTGCAGAGTGCAAAGGATGCTGAAATAGATATTTACGTGCAGGTTTCTTTATGTACATGAGGTAGGTGGACATAACAGTATATACAATATGCACAGCGTGGGTAGATGTAAAGCTGCAGTAGGTAATTTTTCTAAAAATATATTTTTTGTTATATTTGTTGATATTTCCACTCTATCCTGACAGCAGTACATGAGACAGATAATCTGTGAAAGAAAAAACCCTGGTTCCTCTGGCTCCTTCTACAATCCTAATGGCATTTGCAAGAATAATCCAGGTCTGGACGGGAAAACAAACCAGAGCCGAACCAAGTCTATAAGTGAACTAATTCACACACCTAAAAGGGCAGCTGAACTATATATCAAGGCAATACTAAATAACCCAGCCATATAACACTTATCTTAGCAAGGGGCTTCAGAGTTTTGAGAATTGGACTTGAGTCTATTGGCATGCAAAAGGTATTTATTGTAGTAGCATCCTTTGAATTATTTATTTGCTGCAGTTTGGTTCATGATCTATGAACATCTCTACTTCTTGCAGTATTTGTAATTTCTTGGAATGAAATCCTTCTCCTAATGTTCCTGAACATACAAGAACACTCACAACTGAGATGGAGTCATACGTCTGCTTAATATTGTTGAATTTGTTGGTTTTAACAACTTCAGGGGTTTGTTTTTGATACTTTTAGAGTCAGTATCTTTAAATATGTATGTGCTTTTAGCCAAAAAAGGGAGTTCAATAAAGGATTTTCCTAACAAAATTAAATCCTGTGTGGAGGATTCTTTTAATCACTAGTTAAACAATTGTGTGCAAAAGTCGAATTTCCAGGACAAAGATAACAGAACAGTTAAGTGAATAAACATCATGTGGAAAAATAGGTGTTTTACATTAAAGTGGGACTCCTGGCCTGTTTACTGCCCTGTAAGTACTAATACTTCTCCAAAAACTAAGAAGGGTAACAAAAAGAATCACAAATGACTCAGAAACATTTAATACTGCTTTCTACAGGCCTCAGATTCTGAACGAGACCAGGAGGTTGTGTCCAACATCACGCTGCTCCTGGTACACTGCAGACGCCCAACAAACGGGGCTGGACTTTGTCCCATTAAAACATATCAGTATTGTCATTTCATTCAGCGGTATAATTTAAACAGTTCTTATACCATAATCATTTGGTCTTCTCACATCATTTCATCATTTTACAAATGTCTCTGAGAGTGATACTGTCATCCAACAAACAAAGAAAGGAAATAAGTGGGGAGTGTGTAACCAACAACAGTACATTACCTGTATGACAATTAAAAAAACAACAGTACGACACAAACAGAAATGGTACACAGACAAGAATTTAAAATAATTCATTTCGACTTTATTACAACATCATTTGTTTTAGGTCGTCTATACAAAGTTTCTGAGCCAACACATCCCTAATTTATATTTTTGGCACTTATTTTTTTTAAAGTAGCAGAGTGGTGTACTAAAAGAAATTATTTTTAACTCAAAAGCACAATTGAGGTCCCAATGGCACCAAATGTCCTGGAACAATAAACTCAAACTCCAGCCTCAGAAGTATGAAGACCATCATTACTCATGAGTCATGTTAATGTAAACAATCTTGGTGGATGTATTGTTGTAGAGCAGCCTCAAACTGTTTTTGTTTTATGCAACGAATCACTTTCTCATCAGAAATCACTGAGCAGCTGACAGTCAGTCTTTCTTCCATGAATTTTATTTCCTGCAGAGAAAAAAAAAAAAAACGCAGTCTGAGCACCAATCACGCTAAAGCTTCCTGGTGATGTCACAAAGATGATAAATGTGGTGGTTGGGCCACATGGCTCTGGAACAAAGTTATCCGATCCAGCAGTGTTAGCGGGATGTCTCTGATGACTGAAGGCAGGTCTTCATGCTGTAATGGATAGATGACCACACTCAGGGCCGAGCGGTCGTATGTGAATCTAACGGAGGGAAGACACAAGAAAAGGTGAATTTGAGATTTCTCGTAGTTTAATGTGATGTACATGTCCACACACACACACACACACACGCGCACTGACCTGTCCAGCAGAGTTTTCTGCAGTGTGCGGCAAGCCACTAAGGTGCCGCCCATGAACATGTGGCACATGATGACATGGTGGCACCGCTCCATGAATGTTTCTGCGGCGGTGGCGTCAAAGGTACCGCTGCGTGAGATAAGGCAGAGGCGCTGCAGACGAGAGCAGCAGGACAGAGCCTCAAAGAATGGCGCGTTGGCATTCAGGTAGGGCTGCTCTAACCTAAACGCACAAACACACAATGTTCAATAAACAACAAAACAACAACAAGCTGAGCAAAGATGTGAACTCAGTCCATGACATTTAATTAGACTAACTGGTGTACGGCCCTATATTGTGTAGTGAATATAAGGCACCACCTTTCATGTAAAACAACAAAAACACCACAAGGTAAATGTGAATGTGTGGTTTGTGTGTTAGGTGGAAAAAACAATCTGCCAATTCAAAAATTTTCACAACAGGCTTTGTAATTCTTTGAGAAAACAAATAACAAAATAAACCAACCACATTACTTTGCATCATACTAGAAGACAGTTAGCTCAGCATTTAATGGTTCTTAATCTACTCAGGACCCTGCTTACAAAAAATATTAAGATTACATTATTAGTTCAAATAATAGCAATTTTATTGAAAGGAAGAAAAAAATAATAATTCTGACTGTACCATCTGTCTGATGCTTAGTGTTTAGTATTACAGTAAATGAACAAAAGCATCTACTAACCTGAGTTCCTGTAGCTGTGTACACTGTTTAAGTGCATCCAGCAAGGCAGGAGTGTAGTTCATGGTTTTTAGTGATCCCATGTTGGCAAGGGATAATACCCGTAGGTCTTCGCAGTGCTTGGCCAGCTGTACCAGCCCTGTACCCCTAAGGACTCCCGGAAGCCCAGCCAGAGTCAGGCGTCGTAATCGAGGCAAAGCCTCAAGCGCCGCTATGTGTGCATCGCCAACTCCTCGCGCCCATGTGCACATACCGCGAGGCTCTACACTGGCACGACTGCAAGGCTCAAGCCGAGGCAGCACAGAGACAAAACCTGGACCAATGATCTCTAAGGTCTCTAAAAGAGGGCAGCCAGCTAAAAACTGAGTGAGCCCCGAGGTGCTGTCCCCTGCCAGAGAAGACTCTGTCTCAGGCCTGTAGTTCTGGAGGCCCACACGTGGAATCTTCTTTAACCCCAGGAACAACGCAGAGGGAGATGTGTTTTGAGAGATTTGATGTGTGTTTAAGCCATCTGCCAGAGCACAGGCAGGCAGAGTGAGAGAGCGCAGTTGTTTGAATTTGGCCAAGCTGGCACACAGGTGTGTTTCTCCACCTAGCCCTGGTGAGTTTTCATGATGATAGTGTGTGTGCATCAGGTTCAGGTATTTAATGTTGGGACAGCCAACAGCCAACCGGCTCATTGTCCCAGGAACCAGCTGGTCTTCTACACTCCTACACTCCGAGTAAAGGACCTGATTGATCCCGCTAAGGTTCAGACTGATCAGCTGTGTGGAATCTTTCACTCCTCCCTCCAGCAGCGACTGGAACACCTGTGGCCACAGCGCTGGGCAGCGGCTAAAGCTGAGGTGTTTGGGACTGTTTCCCTCCAGGGCTTGCTTTAGGGACAAGGAATCCAGCCAGGACCGAGGGAGCTGCAGGGCCTCCAGGTCACCTCGCTGACCCAAGCTCTTGGCTAGTGAGGGAGCAGCAGGCCAGTGAGCAGGGTTTGGGCCAGGAATCGACACGAGGAAAACTCTGAGACGCTTTGGAACATGAACGCTGAACACTGCCAGGTAGAGCAAGAGCAGGGTCTGGTTTACCTAAGGACAACAACGCACAGATACAGTATATATCTGCAGTATTTAACTAGTGTATGTGAACATATTACATGTACATGCACACTAACAAACTCACCTCTCCTGGAGCCAGCCTGGCAGTGAACTCTTCCAGCTGCTGGTAATGTGGCACACTGCTCTGGCCCACCATTAACTGACAGCACACACCGACACCGTCTCTGGTCACATCCGAGATGTCAAACTGCAGCATCAACCTACAATGCAGAGACACAGACACACATTCAACACGGCAGCAGCAAACTAGTAACATACTCTGTCCTTAGACAGCAACAACTTACAAATTTGTGCATTTTTTCCAGATGGTGAAGCACCTTTGTATTTAAGCCTTAAGGACAGCTATGTCAGTCAGTCAGTCCACCTCTTTGGTCTAGACTGAACTAACAACTGTTGGATGGATTGAAATTGTATAAAGACATTCCTGGTCCCCAGAGGATACATTCTAAGGCTGCATGATCTGTTAAAAACATCATATTATAGTTATTTTAAACAGATAATGCATTTGCAATATGATTCACGATTAGTGCGGGAATGATCGTT